ATGAGAAATGGTTCTATTATGGAGAGGAAGTCCGGGCAGATTATAATAATATTGAATTGCTTATTTTATTTAAGATGTATTAGGCTTCAACAAGAAAACAGTTGGTATCTAAAGGCAATAATCTCTTCAATTAGAAAGCTTGAAGATGTTTGTAGGTGACAACTTGCTACGGGCGACTGTTTGACATTTTAGAAGCTTGACGTTTACACGCATACAGATAAAAATAGCACGCCGCACTGGGGTCACCTGGGACAAAATAAAACGCAATATAACACATTTCACATGTATGTACGATACACAACGAGTAATAAAATGATTAAATAAATAGAAGCACTATATCCGACGTCAACAAATCCAGGAATACCGTGAGAAATTCAAATTATTAGCTACATAGACGGTGTGGCGACTAGGATCCGACCGACCGACCGACCGACCGAAAGAAAGATGTAGTCGTGTTGTTCTCCTGGTTAAAAGTATTCACACCAAACATAACTCGGCCCAAGTAATACAAGATACCTTGTGGAGCTGAAAATGTTGAGTCATAAATTACAGGTGAAAACGCCTACAAACCTCAAAGGTGAATCAGCATTTCTTTGATCGATCGTAACGTCTGCGCAAACCCAGAACCCGAATATTAAGTCTTTGACCACCGAGAAGTCAATACTCAAATATATTGACTGCCAAATACGCGAATCTGATTGGCTGTTAGGGCTATGAGGTAATACTAACCGATATTTCAAAGCTAGTTATATTATGTTAAAAATTATCTACATTGCGGGAAGGGTATCTTGGGCAACCCTCGTCAATTTTTTTTTTTTTCTAATATGGCTTTTGTATGGTGAGGATTGAACAGCCGGTAAGCAATCCTGAGATATTTCTGAAACAGTTTAGTCAAAGAATCAAACACTGTTGCAGGAAAAATGATCAAAATGATCAGAAGGATAAAATACCTAGACATATACCGTTATATCGTTGTTATTATCCAATGAAAGTAATACCTTCAACGTGCTGACTATTAAGACAATTTGGTTCAATGATACATGGACATAGAATCACCGTTTTTCTCTATGAATAAGTATAATAAATATTAGCTCAATCATGTTCAGATGTCAGGCCACTGTTTACCACAGAAAAACCAAAATGCCACTGGAATTAAATATAGAATGTAATATTAATATCTTGAGTTGGCATGGTTATATTTAATTGTTGGCAATGCGAGAATGCATAAATAGAAAATTATGATGGACTGAATTATGGGCAAATTTGAAATACTTACTTTGCATTTTATATCTTGATAAATTTAAAGCGCGGGGACTTGCTAGGTTTTAAAGTTCTTGTCATCTTATGGAAATAAAAACAGAAAAACATCAAGGAATTAATAGGAAATTTGTTTAATAATGGAATTGTGGGCGGGAACTGAAAAGTCAAGTATAAAACTACCTCAATACATGTTACCTACTATCTCACACCGTATATCAATATTAATTGAAGTCGATATCAGTGTCATAACTAATAACCAGCTGTGACACTTAATTAATAGAATCTTTTGTTGCAAATACCAACACTGCTGCTCGTTTTAATTAATTTAATTGTGGACAACGCCCCATATAACATTCAACACCCGTGTCACACTGTTATTACATTTAATTGGATTAAATTAATAACAATGTGGTGTTAACAATCTTTTAATAGTTGCATTCATGGCGTCCCAGGACAAGTCGTACAACGCCGTGCGTCTGATATTGTGTGATATAAATATGTTGTTTTAATGGTTTCATTTTAAGTGAGGTGTGGCTACAATATGAATATATTACATACTTTAAACAAGATGTTTCATCAAGATTACGTAACCTGTGCACACGATGGGTCATGAATAATAATAGTCTTATCTATGAGAGTTACCAAAAACTAATAAATATAAAGTATATAAAAC